GTTAGATACATGTACAATAATTCGGATTCTCCTTATTGTTGGTGAATTGATAGCCTGTTCGTTACTTCCATTTACCAATTCAGCTGTAGATTGAGTTTTCCTCTCTATCGTTTACATTGCAGAGGCGTTTAGGGTTGTACAACTGAAACGAAAAGGTTTGTTCTTTTTTAAAAAAAATAATGTGAAGATAGATTAGATTTTTTTTTAAAATATCTGTCTAGATCTAGATCAAGATCTAAATTCTAGATCTAGATCTAGCCTTAAATTTCTAGATCTGTCGGTTATGGGACGTGGCCAGACATGACAATTGAACAACGTCTTGTGCGAGCTGGAAAAACACAAGGTGGCCTTATCAACCGAACACGCAAAGAATGGACTAAAATGAAATGGCTTATAGGTCCCCACATCGTCGCTCAGTATACGGATGCATTGAGAACTTTAACCGGAATTACTTGGTTACTGGCCTTCTCGCGGTGGAATCGTTGCCACTGACAGGAGGACACAGGCGAGTCGCTGGCGCCTCAAAACCAGCTGCTTCTGGTAGACGGAGGTAGACAGCCTGGGATGGCAGTTTGTCTAGGGGAAGGAAAACCCTGATTTAAAACCTCCGCGGCCTTGCGGCCATATCCATTAAGGACAAGGCTATGGAAGTAAATCCAGAGAGAAAATCCGGAGTGGAGTCCCAAAGGCGGTTGGGAGCTCAGTCCTGACTTCCTTTTGGCAACTCCTGCAGCTTTATTGGCTCCAGATGTAATGCAAAGCATTGATGTCTTTCAAGCTGGTGTGGTCACCGATAGCAGGGTCATCGTTGATTACGACTGGCTGGAAAGTACATGCTGAAACGACTGGTATGTGCTATGGCAAGGTTTCCTTTTTTTAAAAAGGACCAAGCTGTCACATTCAAGGTGATGCGTAAACCCGTGCAAATCCTGAACGACATCTTTATTTCACAATCTGAGATGTACCAGCGACTGCTTTCAATGGCCTGCGTCTGTGGTCTCCCTCGAATCTTGAATTTTCTTTACTCAAGTATGAGTTTTCACCTGTGGCTCCTGCCTTTCTATACGACTACGAGAGTAAGAGGAAAACGGACAAATCTCTCCTGGCCAATCACATCATCAACGTGTTCCCAAACATTGTTGTAAATGAGGTCAACGACAAGTCTCATTATCTGAAGTATGATGGCATCCACATGCTTCATCGTCTTAACTGGACAAAGGTTGGAACAGTGGAAACATTGTGTCAGCTATTCGTCAATTGTCTGCTCCACAACAGGACACCAAATATTGAACTTTGTGTCGTCTTTGACAGTTGTGAAACGATAACTACCAAAGCACCTGAGCAAAAGAGAAGGAAGACTGCGTACACACCACATCCAGTCGTTGATCGTCATTACAGCACAAACCTGTAGACTGACAAAGACTCGTTCCAATCTTCAAAATAAGCAAGCATTGGTGCGACTCTTAGGGTCGTCATTAGAAGAAGAGGACATTTGTATTGCTCATGCCAAAGAAG